TGACCAGGATGGTCTCAATCTCTTGACCTCGTGATCCACCCGCCTCGGCCTCCCAAAGTGCTGGGATTACAGGCTTGAGCCACCGCGCCCGGCGAAAATTATTATTTCTATATCATTTTAACAATTCAGTGGTTATCTTTCACATAAAAATGAAATTTTAAAAACCATATTTTATATTAAAGAATGAAATTAGTACACTCTTGTTGCTGACATGGAGATTTTAGTGCATACCTAGCTCCTTCATTATTTACAATTCAAATCTTTGTTGCACTTCATCTGCAATAATTCCAGAAATTGCGATGGAAGAAGTAGCAGCAGGGGAGGGTGCATTTCTCACATGAAGAATGCGATTTCCAATATCCCCAACTCCTCCATCAAATATAAAATCTTCTACCAGATTTCCATCACTATCCAGGGCTTGAGCTCTTACTCCAGCTGGACCCCTGAAAAAGCAAAAGATGGGAGTTATCTGACTCAGAGACATAGGTTACTTTACAAGTCAGTGTTTCCAAAGATTCTTAAAGCAATAAAGCATTCTTCTAAATGCACAATTTTGTGGAAACATAATGAATTTGTGTTTAACTAAAGGCTGCCAGTTGTAGACTGTCAAACCTATATTGTTAGCTTAGAGCCTAATACCTATTCTATAACAATAGTATAATAAAAGCTTAGCAAAGAAATACATAAAAACAAGCAAGTTACTAATCAGTGTCTCCTATTTCCAAAGGTAAGTCTACATTTAATTAGAACAGGTATATTTTTATTTAAATTTGTAGAATGAATTTATTAGAAAAATCAATCAACAGCAACAATAAGCTTCATCTGAGTAATGCAAATCAATGAAAGCAAGGGTTATGTGTCAGTTGCATTCCTATATCCTATTCTATTTGTTTTTGTATTTTTAAAATTCACAGGATTAAAATTTATGGAGAAATATTTGCAAATGTCAACAAGTTCTTGTTTTGCAGTTTGTTTTTAACAGTTTACCCCCCTTTTTTTTTTTTTTTTTTTTTTTTTTTTTTTTTTACCCCGACTGGATGTGAATGGTGCAATCTCGGCTCACCGCAACCTCCGCCTCCTGGGTTC